ACATAAAAATAAATACTTTTTCTAAACGTATTTTTTATAATACGCTAAAATACATTTTGTTTTATTAAAAAAAATTATGTAAAAAAAATGTTTTTTTAATTAATTTATTGTTTATGTTTATCGATTTATTATTATATAAATGAGTTTTAGAAGGTAAAAATCAAGTGGGCCTTTAGCTCAAGTGGTTAAGTGATTGGGTAAAATAGAAGGGTGGAGGTCACGAGTTCGATCCCTCCCCCTAGCAATTTAATTATCTTTTTCAAAGAAATTTCAAAAATGAATTATCTTTTTCAAAGAAATTTCAAAATTGGTCCCTGTGGTTTATCAAATGTTACGAATTCAATCTTTTTATACTTGAAAAGACGAAAAATACCCTTACAGATTCAGTCCCTAACGGCGTTTTACTAACGGTGTTAGTAAAAAGGGCCAACTTTGCAAGTTTTGCAAACCACAAGGACCATTTGCATAAAAAAAATTAGCAGGGACTGACTTTGTGACTTTTGGCAAACCACAGGGACCATTTTTGTAATTTTGTCTAAAATCAATATGTGGGAACATGGTTGAATCGCCTATAATCGGTTATGTTTACACGATTATACCATCGTCTACAGGGCTGTCCCAAGACGATTTGAGGCCTAGGGCAAAAACAAAAAAATAGGGCCCCTTAACATTATTAGTAATGGCAAAACAATAATACAATGATGATATGGAGACAAATACTTAAGCACTTGTTATTAAATTAAATATATATAGTATGAAAGAAAATTGAAACGGGTTAAAAGGATGCGAGTTAAATATCAAACCAATAAACCACTAGGTTAGTACAAAAAAACTAATAACAAAGCAAAATAATAAAAAAAAAAGCGAACAATCAAACCATTTCGAAAAACCGTCACTTTGGTGTCTGACCAAACAAACAAAAAGATACTGAAAACTCTAAAATAACTTGAAGAATGACCTACCTAACTGACATGTTAGCATGATTTTTATTAACAAACATACAAATAATAGTAATTATATATTAAAACACCATGCAATGTAGAAATCTCTTAGCCGGAAAATTATGTTTGATAATGGCTAGAAAAGACCAAAATTGTAAATGAAATAAATGTTTGGGTCGTTTGTCAAAAAAAAAGGGACCATATTAATAACTTGGATGATCTATGAATAACAAAGAAGAATACATGGACTATTTTTGTAATTTGAATTCAATTTCAATAAAATGAGGCGCAAGTTATGAAAGAGAGCAAATGCTGATTATTTATTATTAGTTTTAAAAAGTGCATATAGAAATAATCGAACCTGAGCACCTATCTAGGATCTTTACCAGAAGGTTAACCAACTGATCTAGTGAAATTATATGCAATTGTTTAACACAAAACATATATATTAGGTATAAAACAGAATTATTTTTGGGGCCCCAAACCATAACGAGGCCCGGGGTCGTTTGCCCACCCTATTGGGTCGGCCCTGATAGTCTAATTAAGTACAAGTTAAAATTGGACATGGGGTATCTTTCGTCTAACAAAGAACACTTCTAAGAAAATATATATCTTTGGATTTGAAAAATGCATCTACATAAAAAATGGTCATACAACTTTAGTCAATTAAATGAAGAATTCATAAAGCCTTTTTCATCAAAGAACAATCTGAAACTTTTCATCAGATATATTGACAAGTATGCACAGGACCAATCATTTATCGAACTTGATTCTAAGGAGAAGTCATGGATATGCTTACAATGTATTGAAACGAGAAAGAAGTAACCATTTATGTGACAATAAAGAATAACCTCGACTCAAATAACCTTCGCTTCAATAACCAACGATGATATAAAAGATAAACCACATGTGGGAATATGGTTGAGTCTCCAATACTAAAAAAATGTTTCCATGAGGCAATAAATTATAAACAACAAAATATAGGGAAATAGAAACATACATCAAATACTTTCCTAGGTAATAGATTCAAGTTTATTTGTATGTGTTTTATTTGACCTCATACTTCACACTGCAAAAGAAGGGGTTTTGTCATAATTGTGCAGCCAGGACCAAATATTTTCTATGTTATAGTCTTCTTATTTACTCATTTTAATGTTGTTGGTGATCCAACAAAAATCTTAATGTACTATTCATTGTTTTAATGGATGTAGAAAAAAAAAAAGATAACGATGGTGATGCAACAGAAAAATGATAAAAAGAAAGGGAGAGTTCTACTAGCAATGTTAAAGTTTTGATAGTAACAACCAATTTTTTATACTCTGAAACTACAATATTTTTATAAAATTTTTGAAATGACAGTGTACTTTAATTCTCAAATTTTTTACAACAAAATACTAAATTGATGCTCTAAAAAGTCAATTACAACTATTTAAAAAGTCAAATACCTCTAACTTCAAAAAATAACAATGCACTTTAACAATTTAGGGTAGACATTACAAACTACAATGTCTCAATAAGAATTTTTTTAAAAGTATAATGTTACAACACTACTAGAAAAACAGCCTTTTACGACGCGCAATGCATGTCGTAAAACGCTCAGACGACGCGCAAATGCGTGTCAAGGAAGACCCTATCATAACGAGAGACGACACGCTTTTGCGCGTCGTCTATAGACGACGCGCATTTACGACGCGCATTTATGACACGCATTTACGACGCTCATTTACGACGCGCAATGTGTATCAAGGAAGCCCCTGTCATAAAGGAAGACGACACGCATTTGCGTGTCGTAACCTTACGACGCACGTTTAGGACACGCATTACGTATCGTTAAAGCCCCTGTCATAAATGAAGATGACACACATTTGTGTGTCATAAACTTCAGCAACCATTTACGATATATATTTACGACGCGTCTTTACGATACTCATTTACGCATAATATAAAAATATGGAAACAAATATATACAAAAACAATCAATTTCATCCATAACATCATGTCAAAAAATTGTAATACATTGGTATTAAGGGGATCCGACTATACATTGTTATTAAGAGGTTTTCCCTAACTATATAACCTAATACTACATTGCTATTAAAGAACACCTTAAATCAAAATTGTAATCAGATTCGACATTTCCAACAAAAAAAAAAAGAACAATTAATTTCTTTCTACATATATCTGCTCCTTAAGAAAACTTAAGCATACCGAGAATCTTATAACCAGAGGCAAAACAATTTAGTCCATCCTTTCTAAGTTCACCATCCCGTTCTGCTGTTAGATTTGCAACAATTTGCAGGTTTTTTATCTGTCCACTTATCTGCACCATAATCATGGAAAACATGAGCAACCTTCAGCTATAAGCCTATAAGGTGTGAGTGTGACACATTAATTGAAAGGACTATCATATGTAGTTATATACCTCAGTGTAATGGTTATCAAGCAAAAATCCAACAAGATTAGTACACTCAATTTTTGTCTTGTTGTTTCTAGAATGCAGACCTTCCAAAATATATGGGAAAGTTATAGCAGTTGAATAGCTATGTATGATCTTGTTCATTAGTATAGTATCAAATTTCTTGCAATACATGCCTCAACAATCAGATGCCCCTTCCACATGGTGAAGCACAAGTGCATCTTCCTCCCCTGACTCCATCCGTAATTTATGTATCTGTATATATATTTTTTAAACATCATTTATCCAGTCAACACTCGATCTTAAAAAAAAAGAACAAAGCGTCAATAGCTATCAATGTACTAATTAAAACCCGTACATTGCTGAGAAATTGAAAAGCCTTCTCGATCCCATGACTCTCTTTGATATAAAGAAAAAGGCGTATAGTCTGCAGATCATTAGAATGCATATATTAATTGGTGACTAATATATTAACAACAAAAAGAAATTCAAAAAGAAAAAGAAAAAACTTGTTACCAAGCTTGATAGATCTTCCTTAATTGAGCTGTCTGAAGATGGCAATTCTCCACCATTTTCCTCAAGTTTCTCAATCAATTTTCCCGAATATAATATCACACCAAAGTTATAAAAACCGTTTTAATAAAATGTTTCATGTAGAGTTAGTTGTTCCACTTCACCTTAGTTACTAAAGAGCATATGGAGACTGATATTCTCTGAATCACATCAACAGCTGCTCCAGACCTGATATTCTCTGCATCACATCAACATCTGGCTGTAAAATCAATGAGTGTAACAAATATTTTTTTTACAGTTTTACTTTTGAAGATCATTAAGATTTGAAGATCATACCTTGCACCACATAAAACTAGAAGATGGAGAGAGCTAAACTCCATATCCTTAACAGCCCCACCCAAGGAGATGGAGTGATCCTTTTCATTTTGATCCCATTCATCCAAATATGGAATCTCCATTTGTCAAAAACATACAATCAGAATTAAGAACAATATTTTATATTAAAAATAGGGGAAAATCAATAACAAAATGAAAGTGACAATGAAGTGAATTGACATTCTAACTTGTTTCTTGAGGATAGAGTGCAACTTCAAGTCCTGATTCAGCTGTTGTATCTGTAATCTTTTGGATATGACAGAATGCCACATCTTTGAGATAGTCACCCATGTATGTCTGAAAGAAATAGTAATTGTTTCAGATAAAAGGTACATAAATTAGTACTATAACTCTAAACAAACAAACCTGTGTCCCTGTAGCTCGGGACATTTTTTCTTGCTCCTGAAGAGCTTCTTCCACTGTCTGAACTGCAGCTCTAGCTTTCTCAATTTCAGTTCTTGCAAAAGCTCTCTCTTCATCAACAAGCTTTTTTGCATCTTCTGAAGCCTACATGTAATTATAAATCTTTACCAAAACTAAACAGCAGAAATACAAGAGAAAAAATAATTTCTTTAAGGTGATAAACTAAAATAATGAAATACTATTACTAACCTGCTTTAGAAAACTTGCAAGCTTCTTAACCTCAACCTTTTCTTGAACCAACTCTCCTTCCCTTTTCTTTAGAAAACTTGCTCGAGTAGTTCTTCAAGTTTGATGCTATTACCCTTCGAAAAATATTTGTTTAATAATATATTAACTCTTAACATATTAAATAAAAACAATAAAAAAATAAAATTAAATAAAATTAAATAGACCATACCAATTTCCCTGAAATGACACAAAGTGATTCAGTGTCTACTGCCCTGATTTCCCTACAAAGTTAATCTCATCAAGTAGGTTTGGTTTGGCTATATCTCTTTTTTCATGAATCTGTATAGTATAACTGTTCTGAAGTGCTGTTTCTTGTTTACATAATAGCTTAATAGGGACAAGATTTAATATGCTATATATGGGTGTTCCATGTCTTTATGCTGACCATATATGGATGTAATCATGTAAATCACATCTTTGAAAAAAAAATTAAGATGAAGTCCAAAAGTCCAGAAGTTTGAAAAATAGAATCTTAAGCATGTAAATAAACTATCATACCTTAAACCACGATTTACAATACGACCCAACTCAATAGCAGATTCTAATTGATTACTGAGTACAAAGACAGTCAACTCCCACTGGTGTTGGATGTCCTTGAAAAGATGCATGCACATTTAACAGCTGCTGTCGTTTCAAATGATCCATTGTTTATTCAGGTTTCATTCATGGAATTTTCATTCTGAAATTGTTTTTATTATAGATATTTTTTATGTGGCAATGTTGTTTTTAATCTGATTCTGATGATGATTTGTTGAACTTGGTTTCCAGGAGGTGATTGGGAAAACAGTGAATGGAACCACTTATGTTGGACTTAGAGCAAGGACAACAGAGGCACCATAGAATCACTGGTGAGTGGAGTAAATATAAATGGAATTTCCTTTCCTTTCCTTTTATAAAACAAAACAGTGTGTGTTGTGTTCATCAGGTTTGGCCCAGTTGGAGATCCAAGAGGAGTAGGAATAGGGACTCCTGAAGCTATAAAACTCGTGTGGTCGTGTCACAGAAAGGTCATATACGATGTTGGTCCGGTACCACATAAATGGCAAATCCCACCCTCCACTTGAGAAAAGACATCAATACCCCTGTGCATTGCATTGCATTCAGTGATGACCCAAGTTGACCACAAGTATATGGAAGCAGAGGAAGCCATTGCTACTTTCATGGACAAACAAACATCATCATCATGTGCTCCTCATTATAACGTACTACTCTGTGCGTATGCAAAATCAGGATTGGTGGGGGAAGTGGAGAGGCTTTTTAATCAGCTGCTACTCGCCACTGGATCTGAACCTGATGTTGGGTGTTATGGAACCATGTTTAGATTGTACTTTGACTATGGATATGTGGAAAAAGGTATTTCTTTGTTTGAAACCATTACTGGTACTGCTGGTGTAAAACAAGACAGGTTCATCATGAGTGAAGCTGCTCATTTCTACAGGTCAGCAGGCTTGGTAGAAAAGGCTGAAGATGTTTTCAGTTGCATCAATAGTTTAGGCATCCCTTTTCTCAACAATCTTCAAATTAGATCCAAGACAGATTCATTGATTGATTTGAATTTGTAATTGTAAAATGTAAAATGTAAATTGCAATGCGGTTTCTTCATGTGTTTTGTTTTACCTGTACCTGTTTTGTGATTGTAAAACTGTACAGCTGGTCAGTGATGACCCAACTGCCAAAAGCTAATAAAAGCTAATGAATAAATTTTATGCTTTCTAAATGAGTAGATTAAGTATCTCATCACCAGGCCTCAAGAAAGCAACCAGGGCACATGTAATGGCATGAGTGCCTGAGAAGAACTGAACTAAAGTCTGTTAAGTAAATTGAGAACCTAATAAAAATGGTGGGAGGTACAGATGAATGATTAAAAATGGAAAACCTATGAACGAACAATTGTTGATTCAACACCAAAATTTTCTACAAAATCTTGGTCTAGGGCTTCTCTGCCACCTACTTCCTGTCTACAAAATCTTGGTCTAGAAAAGTTAAGCCGGGAAGAAAAAAGGATTTAGCAAGATAGGGTTCTGGTAGAAGAACGAAAACATAGGGAAAAAAATCAACTGAAACACACCTTAATAAGACATAGGGCTTGTAAATTAGAGCAATAGAAGAAGTAATCCTAAGGTCGTCGGACCTGATGTTGTCGGCAAGGGGAGGGGAGGTGAGATCTTCATTCGAGAGTCGACATATCTTGTAGTGATATTACCTGAAGGTTTCTAGTTCGAATGATTTGGGCTCTGTGGAACCTTGATGTGAGGCCAATCATAAAGCATCCTAGTGCTTCGTCGCAGTGGAAGGTGCGTTATGAGTGTCGATTCGCTTAGGTGACGAAGCAGCAGCAGTGGTGAAAGTTAAAACCCTAAGTCGTCGGTGTCTTAGTCGATAACTTGTACCAAAAAAGCTTAAATCGCTATGAG